CCTGTGCTCCTGAACTGAGATCCAGAACCCAGCTCCTGTACCCACGTATTGCCATCAGGGGGAGTTTGGTTCGGTATTGGCTGTGTATATATTTGTACATAGTGTATTTTATTATCATTATTACTATTATTATTAGTGATAGTATTAAAGCTCTTTTCTTTTCTTTTCTTTTCTTTTCTTTTCTTTTCTTTTCTTTTCTTTTCTTTTCTTTTCTTTTCTTTTCTTTTCTTTTCTTTCTCCTTTATTCCCTTTCTCTTTCGGGGGTGGGGGAGGGGGTTAACAGAGAGCGTCTGTTACGGTTCTGGGGGCTGCCCTGACCCCAAATTGCAGCATTTGTCTATTTTCTTCTCATTTCTAATTTATGGTCTAGTTTAGTCTTATGAGTATCGGTGTTCCATTCTGTCTGAGAAGTCGTGGCTGAAGAGCTGGTAGCTTCATAGCACTCTGGGGTTAGCACTGGACTCCACTGGGAGAGCAGCAGCTCTCCAGGGCACTGTCTGAATTCCTCCAGTTTCAGTGGCCATACTTCCAGCTGCAGTAACAGACTCCTTCCCTCCTGATCTGTTAAGGTTTCAAGAACATTGAAAGAGGAATCTGCTAAATGGCTCCTTTAGTTAGCTCCTTTATAATTACATCAGTTCCTTTCTTTCCTGTGTCAGCAGATGTGAATCCTAAATGTGCCAGGATGGTGCAGAAGAGTAGAGAAACACTTTAAAAGCAGAACAATATTTCAGAAATAACCACTGGCAGGCTGTGCAGTTTTCCCACTATTAAGCTAACCTTTAAAAATATACAAGAAGAACTGAAATTTATATTGAATTTTAAAAACGATGAGGTGATTGCCTGTCCCAAGGTCATCGTTATGCCTTTCTTTCACAAAGTAACAGTTTCTGTTTAACAGAAAACTTTCCTTTATCAACATTTTAAATTGAAAAATGGAAAAATTAATTTATCAGTTTTGTGATGACTAGGCTAGAAGAGATTGTAATGAAATTGTCGGTAACAGCCCAAGTGAAAATATGCAGATGCAAAGTAAGCTTTTCAAGATGCTTATGACAGGAATGATAAAATTATCTAGTAGCTGGAATCATGGAAAAATGGCTTTAAAGGACCAAGAGAAGAGAATTTCACCCTTGCTACTGGAAAGCTACTCTGGAATCCAGGTTATAGTGATTTCTGGTGATTATAACTGCAGTGTATTAGAGTATACTGAATAACCAAATCTGTTACTTTTGTTTTATCTAAAAACCACAAAGTCTGAGATCTGCCTTTTTTTTTTTTTAAATATATTTTAGTATTTAAAGGATTAAAAAGTTAGAAATGAAAAGCCAGAAAGTCTCCTTTAGGTTCTATGGCTCAAAAAGCTCATAGATGCTGCTTTGTATCCACAACTGCACAACGTAATGAATGTGAATTTCATACCCAATCGTAGAGTTTTAAACTCCGGTAATGCTGCAGAGGCACAAAGTTGGTAAAAGATGTGGTAATTTCTCTCCTCTTCTGCCTTTAAAAAGGAAGGAATTTATTATTTTTCACAATTTAAGAAATGTCAGAAACATCCATGAGTAAAAAATACAGGTTTAATGTATTCTCTAAGAAAGCAAGTATGTTAAGAGCATAGAAGCCGCATGAAAAAGGAAAGAGAAATCAATATCTATCATTTCCTTCTTGATTAACTTAATCCATTTTCAACAGCAAGAATCATACAGACATTTTCATTTCAAAAAAATGCATTTCACTTCTCAGTTCTGTGGATTACTATTAAATATAGATCAGGATTCTGTGGGTGGGTGAGATGATCATACTTAAAAGCTTTTCATTTTCCAAAAATAACTAATACCATTCGCCTCAGCATTTATAGTAAGCTGGGGAAGGAAGTATCTTCCTTGCCAAGGTGAAGCTGCAGTTTTAAAATGAAGGACAAACACAGCTCAGAAGGTTATGACTGATGACTAACACCGTAATTCTGAACTGAGGCACTCTATATTTCCTAACTTCAAAACACACACAAACAGAAAAAATGAGAATACTCCAAACCACATGCAAGAAATCTGTCATGTTTAAAACATACAACAGAATTTCATGTAACACCTCTACATAATGCAAACTGTAATTATTTGCTTTATATCTTTTGGTAGCCAGTCAAGAATAAGGCCATTTTTACTGAGTTGTAGATTATAATGTAGGCAAAGATGGAGAGGAAGTGTGGGAGACAAAGAGTGGATCAGTTCAAGTATGAAATACCAAAATGGAGAGAGTGCAAGACAGATGAAATTCCATACTCTCAGTTGCCTAAATAATGAAAATTAAGACTCATTCATAACTAAGGCAATATCAGTGGGTTTTAAGAAGAGATTAAAAGTGAGCTAAGATGACAGCTTTACAAGCCACAACATAGATCTCTTGAACATTAATAGTATCTGCTAGGTTTTGAAGCCCTAGTCTATAATACTATGGCAAGCACAAACTCTTGTCTAGTAGTGCACTGGAACTGTTTCCATGTTTAAATATACAGCCTATTTACAACACGTTACAACAACAAATAATTCCGACAAAGAAGGGCTGACTTGGTTCTCCTTTTCTCCCCCTCCCCACACGTGCTATATTACAAATACACTATTACAGCCAACTCTTGGGAGAGAGAACTAATATCAGCAAGCAATTGCCTTTTTTTTTTTTTTTTTAGCACAGTCACAATAAGAATATTATATCAGCATTACCTGAAACACCACTCTTGATTTTTCCAAGAGGTAAGTTCTCATGTTAGCACCAATGATTCGATATCTCTTATCAAAACCAATTTCAATGTATTTCCCAAAGCGACTGCTGTTGTCATTCCTTGTAGTTTTTGCATTTCCAATAGACTGAAAAAAGGGAATGTTTTAAAGGTTAGAGAGCTTTTAGAAATTATTGAATCTATTTAATCACCTATGTGGCTCATAAACACATAGCAACACTAATTTTGTCCTGGTTTCAGAATATTCAAGCATTTAATAAAGAACTATGTCTGCCTAGTCAGCAAGTTATGTCAAAATGTGGTTAGCTGATCTTCCTGACAATTACTTCACTTCCTCATAGTTTAATTTTCTAGCTAAAAAATCTTTACTGCTCCCTGAAATATTTTTAAAGGAATTAAAGAGTCTAACAGAATGCTCACATACACCCGATTTCTTCCAAGCACTTAATAAAATGATAACAATTATTTCATACTTTATGTATGTATGTCTACAGATACAGGCCTAGTACCTGAAATTTCTCTAAGTCTCCCTATTATAAACCCCAGGTTCTGCCTAGCTAACAGTTTATTATTATTACTCTATAATCAACCACACTTCCAAAGTGCTCCTACAAACATATCATTATAAAATATTTACTGTGTGCCTGAATATAATCTAAAAATTAAGATGTACAGACTCATGTAATTTGCCTGAAGCTGAATCCCTTCCACAGTAGCTTGGATCCTAACTCAGAAGTAGTCCTCAATGCTGCCCTACGTGCCTAACTTTCTTAGATTAATTCTGTACAGCTTCACAGATGATAAACTGCATGTAAAATATTTCCTTTATAGTGTGTTTTCTTGGGATGCCCAGGGCAAATGATGCCTGTGGTTCCTAAATGATCTTAGTACACCTTTGCCTTACCTCAATAGGATTCACCCCGCAACAGGAACCAGATGGAGAAATCAGAATTCAAGGCATGCAAATCACAACATGCTGAACTTCAAAGAAAAGCATTTTCTCTTCCCAATTAGATCATGTTTTAGTCATCATATAGCAATTCACCTTCCAAAAAAAATACTAAAGATATCTCTGTATCAAAAGGAATGGCATTTGGAGTAATACAGATACAGCATACTGCCTTTTATCATACGCCACTGTGTGTACCTAACTCTGAAGTGCACCATAACTAGAGAACATGGAGTTGTGTCTACAGCCTAGTTTCCTACTTCATGTAGCCATAGATAGGAACTCTGTAGTGAAATAAAACTTGGGAAAAACAAGCAAGAGCCAACAGCAGTACTGAGTATCAGAATTACAGAGCCGTAAACGTAAGGCCAGGGTACTGGTAAGGGCCAGCCTTTAACCTAAGAGCACAGCTTGGGAAGTGGGGGATTAGACTTTCAGGAGCCCCATCACAGCAGCAGCAGCACAAAGGACTGATGGACCAGATGTCAAAGTGGCATCAGATGAGCAGCTGCTATAAAGGATATAAGAACAAATTGTATCTCTGCAGTCCTAAGAAATACTGAATTCACTCAAACTGAATGTATTAAAACTGCATTTCTTGTCTTTTAAAATTATTGCTACTGTGATATACTTTTTGTTGTTGGTTGCAATATAATGTTACAATATTTTCAGAGATAAATTATTGCTTTTAAAGGTATTACTTATAAAAACAGTCAAGAAAGTCTTTGGTATTATAAGATTGCTTACCAGAGTAGATACTAAGCTGTACAATTTGCACAGCTATGTGGGGTAATGAAGGATAAGAGTCAGGAAATTACAAATAAAGATCTGTTCTAAGACTTGACAATTTCTACATTTGCAATAAGAAAACTGCATATAGTTATCGACTACAAAACTAATTATTCAAATAATTGCTAGAAAACTATAGCGAGGATTTGATATTACAGAGTATTTAGTAGGCAAAGATGATGTGACATTTTCATACTAATGATGGTAGCTCATAAAATGCTGGTGTTTAAGTTGTCCAAACAGAAATTTAAAAAATAAAATTACCTGCTCTTAAGATTTCACAATCAACTTAGTAAATAGGGAGTTTCCTGTTTCTAAAATGAATTACTCATTTTCTTCCTAATCTACATAGGTTAATTTGTGTTTCTGCTGATTTATCAACTGAAGACTTTGAAATATTAATTTTGCTGTCCTAGAGTCTGTCTTAACACCAGATTTCACAACACTTACTCTGAAGCTTATTTAAAGTTCAAGTGTTTTAAATTAAAAGGATAACTTTCATCTGATTGTAAGAATGTTTAAAGTAATTGAAATTTTAGATATATCCAGGTTCAGGAAATTTTCACTATCCGTAAAAAGTAAAAATAAAGTACCATAATTGTTCTTCAGCTGATCAAAAACATATGGATGGAAAGTTCATTTCTAGTCCTCAATTCAAAATTTCCGTGCTTTGGAAAATAAATCAATAAGTGGTGCGCTGATGGCCGCTGACGGAGGGATGGGGTCCAAGGAGTGAAAGGGAAGGATGTGTGGTTTAGGCTTTGAGGCCAAACAAAAGTGGTGCTGGGAAACCTGCACAGGGTTTGTATCTCACCCAGGAAACACACAGCAAACTGCAGACCCATTCTGCAGAGTCTCCTCCCTAGCTGCCACGAGAGGACGTGGCTGCCTGCCTGGTCCCGGGTACCCCCTCCATGGTATGCAGGGAAAGGCAGAAGGGGCATTTGGACCCCTGGTGCTGTGCGCCACGCACCGAATCTCAGTGTGGCCAAGGATGGTGTGACACTTACTGCAAACATTGGAGCAGTGAAAAGAGAACACTGGGATTAACTCATGCCTGCAAAACTGCCACTGCTCCCCAGGGCCCAGGCTGCTCCCGCTGGGGTAGGTGCAGCTCAAGGCAAGGCTCAGCTCCCCTGGCTTCCTCCCAGAGCTGGACGTTTGGATTCTTTAACAGCAGAGCCCACTGCCCATCACAGCACAGCTTGTTTTATCCACAAAACAGTTTCAAAAGACCACACAGCATCACAAACCAGGCACAATTACCTTGTAACAGAACACACACAACTGTGATGGGATCGCTATAGTTGGAGTGTTATGAACTCCTTGTACCAGAAGGAAAGAAGGAATAAAGCACAGTTCATTTAAAAAAATACCTGAGAAACAAAACTACTGCAGCATAACAGAAACATTAGTCTGAGATAATTGTAGCAAAATTACATCTTCTGTTGTGTCCTTCCCTTCTAGAAGAAACCATGTGCATCTCATGTAACTTTGCTTTCTCAGTTTATCTTCCCTAATCACATTTCCTAAAATTGAACATTGGCTTTACTCAACAACTCACTTTGCTTCAAAGTGTAATCTACCTGCCCCCCAATGTATGATGCACATGTTCAGTGGGTAAAACCAGAAGTTTTTAATCTGCTTTGGAATTTTACACACAAAAATAGTCTTATGCACTTGCATTTAGCCAGTGGTTTGGGAACTACCAGTGCTTACAAAGCTAAATAGCTTTAAAGCAGCATTCATATGGCAATAACTTTGTTATGTGAAGTATATTTACAATACTGAAGCATTACCCATCATCTTCTCTGTCTTTCATAAATGCTACATGAAATGGTCCCTAAAGCACTTCCTGGTAAATGGTTTAAAACCAATTTTGCTCTAGGTTCTTTGATTCTTAAAGTATGAACTGCCCTCTCTATTGAATGCGTATGTCAGTCCCTGAAAAACAACTGAAACTGGAGGGTAGGAGGTAGTGCAGTAGCTCTCTTACCTCCATGATGGGATTGGAGGCCAAGACTTTTTCCTCAACATTGGCTTCACTGGCAGACCCACTGACCGTGGCAAAGTACCTCATGGCATACTTAGCAGAGACGGTCTTCCCGGCTCCAGATTCCCCACTGACGATGATTGACTGATTTCGCTCATCTCTGAAACACAAAGACACGTTCATTACCAGCTGTTCTTTCAAAGACACAAATTTTCTGTGTCCCCAGCTTGGCAACAACCCTTCCAACCATAAACGTTAGCAATACAGCAGTAACATAAATGCATGTGGCAGAAATAACAAGGCTGTTAGTGACCAAGCTGCCCGAATGGCTGGTTGGACTACCTGCAGCCAGGCTTCTCAGTCAGAATTGGTGCTGCTGTGACAGTCCAGCCAGCCAGCAGAGCTGCTCTAGAGAACCTGGCTACAGTGAAGTACCTGTTACCACTATTCACTACGTGCTTCTGCAGCTACTTCTATCCAGAGTTTGTGGTATAGTGCTCCACTAAATTATCAGTGCTCATTAGTAAAGATCATTAATGCCATCTTACAGATAGAGAAATCAACAGCAGAGTCAGCAACAGAAACCTTTCGTCCTTCTGATCTAATCACCATCTTTTCCCAGAATTGTTCTGAATCTGAAAAATTCAAGCAGGGCTGTTCAGGACACAAATAGCAGCTCTGTAGCAAAAACAATTCCTTTGTTGTGAAGTAATTTTTTCCTATTAAAAAAAAAATAATCTCCATTTGCTACTAAACAATTTTCTCACATCTCAAAGAGGGTTCTATCCATAACACACAACTGCATGACTAATAAATATACTACAAAATAACAAGGATAGAAATTAGCATTTATATAGCCTGAATCTTTTAAAATAAAGACCATATACATTTTATAGATTATTTTATATTTCCAAAGCAAAAGACGTTAAAATTAATGATGTTTCAAAATACTCCTATAATCTAGATAAACTTAACTCTATCCTACATACTGGAAAGTGGAGAAAGAAGGAATAAAATCTGACCCAGCTGAGGCTGGAACATAGGAGGTATAGCAAAGCCCCAGACTAGGCTGCACTTACAGCACTCTAACTGTGAATGAAATTTCAGGTACGTGCACATTCAGGCAGCACATATACAGTCTGCACAGCCTCCAAATGCCTGCTGAGGCCATCAGTAAATGCTATGCATGGGAAGTGAACAAATATGTAAGGAAAAACTATTTGTGGTTTAGGTGACCTAAAGGCCCACCAGAAGATCTGGGATCCTATTTCTGAGATGGTCAAAAAAAAGCTGCTGATGAAATTGCAAAGCTAAATTACAGATCTCACTTTGTTTCTCTCAACTCTCCAAAACTACTACCATCCCCTAGATAAGAGCATAACTCCAGCATCTACTTCATGTTGCACAAAGACTTAGGCTAAAGAAGCCTCTGGTGACATCACACATCTCAAGGAGAGCCAATGTGAGATTTGTTTAACCAAATGAAGGCATTAGTCAAAGCAAATTTTCTACATTTTGGTAAAAGGAAATTACTTCGAATGGCTGCAGTACTGATATAAATTTGATAGGAAAGTGTTAAGAAGATCAAAGCAACCTAATTTTATGTTCTCAACTTCCATTTAACACATGCAATAGGTGTGAATGACTACAGCACAGCTCACACATTCACATACAGCAAGCTGTCAGTCTCAGTGGGAAAGCTGTGGAAAAGCCTAACTTTTCAGATTGCCACCGGCTTGTGTGTAGTCCAGGTTACAAAGCCCAAAGTGCCAGAGATGTCAGCACTAGCCACAGCAAAATGAAAACATCTGCCCATGAGATTTCCTGTTGGAGTGGCCATCAAGCCTGCTGCACACACTCCTGAGGAAGGATGTCTGCGGGGCCCAAGACGCCTTCCAGTAACGATGAAGATTTCCAGCTGGGAAAGGAAGAAGAAACACTCTTGCTTCTTCCCCACTTCCCCTCCCAGAGCCCACCAGTAGTAGAGGGACATGCACGAGGGACAGTCTGTAGCTCTGCACATCAGGAAGTGGCCTGAGTTATATGAGCTCATGGTCATGCTTCTGAGCAGCAGAAGGGCATGGGAGAAGTCCAACCGAAAGTGTAACATCTAGGCTTAAATGAGACAACCAATAAACAACTTTCCTCTCACACAGTTTCTACAGTGAGTCAAAACCAAAATAATATCTTCATAGGATTGGCATTGTGCTTTCTTTTATTCCTCCTGTGCTCTTTCAAACAGAAAAAAAACCAAAACAAACAACAAACCAAACAAAAACATACCATTCTAAAACATGGAACTTCTGCTGTGATTTCAGCAGGTGCCTAACACAGGAGATGGGCAACAACATAACAAGTTTTTCATTTGTCACTCTCTGTTTCATGTATTAAATATCATTAAATATATAAAGACTCAGGAAGTTCAAGTCCTGTGAAATATATCCTCTGATGACTGAGCTTATTTTTAACTTAGCTCCCAAAGTACAGAAGACTTTCAGAAAACAAAGTAATGCAACCTCAGTACTACATATTTCTGACAAAACTGTCAACAAAAAATTAACTCTGTTGCCAGGAGAATAACATCAGAATAAAGGTGTCTCATTCTAACTGTCACATCCCTTAAGGACGTGTGTGAAAGCACAGAAAGTGCATGCTGGTTTTTCAGTCACTTGTCCCTCCTTGGAGCTCAGGAGTAGGAAACACTAGGCTCTTCAAAGCATTGCGGAGGAGGAAGCTCCATGTTTTCAAAGACAGTAATGAAAAACTGAGGTTGAAATAATTCCTCCTTAGGAATACTGTTGCTAATTAGGCTAGAGTTGCCTTCCCCGACGCTGTAACATATGAAGATGTACTCTTCTTGTTTGCATGCTCAGGAATAAGGGATCTGTTATTATATTACTGTATAAGTACACATATGCTTTTCATAAATTTGCCTAGACAAGATACGGCTGCCTCTGTGTGAGCTAAAAACATTGCTGCCACCTCTTTTGCAATGACTATTTGTGTTTGCAGCAGCTACAGCAGCCATGAGAAACAAAGGGCTCGCTCATTGTCCGCAGCGCAGTCCTCTCGCATCGCCCTGTGAGCGCTCCATCCATGCTCAGAGCCGCTCTTGTCTCCACAAGTGCATTAGTCCATTGTTTTGCTTATAACACACTGGAGTGACCATCCTCTAGCATATTATTCTTTCTGCTTTCTGGCAGAGAGAATGGAAAACACAACAAAACACCCAAGATCACACTCAACATTTGATGAAGGAGACACCCCAAACACAACACCCCAAACACAACAGCAGCAGAGGATGAGCTGTTACTGCCACAACCCCAGGGAAGACTTGGCATATGGATGTCCTACCACAGGCAGCAAGATAGTTAGTCTTGCAAGAAGGAGGGTGAGATAGTCCTGCCAGGGATCTGTGTCAGCTCAGCAGAGGGCTCTTTTAAACTTTAAAGAAACAAAATGCCACCCTTAAAACAAAATAAATAAATAGAATCAAAATACCTTGGAAAGAGCATGAAATGTGGTGAGAATTATTTTTAATGGCTTGGTATAAGCAATGTTCCATCTAAAATATAACCTCCGCTTATGCTAAATGAATTTTTCATAATCGGACTTCATCAAAACCAAAACAAAATAACAAAAAACCCAAAGCAAAACAAAGGAAAAAATCCCCAGAAAACACAAGTAACATCATCATGAGCTCTTTCTCTGTGGAGTTATTTTCAGTTAAATCACTAGCCTCAGCTTTGACCTGACATTTTGAGCACTTAACAGGTCTCCAGTCAGAAAAAAAACCAAACTATAATTAAAACTTTCAGTCAATGAAACAAGTAAGTAGGGCAACTGCATCACATGTGACATCATTTTGCAGCCTGATGCCACAATCCATTATCCATGCAATATTTCTTCATCTTCTTGGAGCTTTTTCTCTGAATAAAGCACATCAGTAAACTATTTTAAAATTAAGATTACCTCTGAATGGAGGAAATATTTTAACTCTTCTTTTACAAAGAGAAATGAGGGAAATCAAGCTGGGACATGAGAAGGAAGAGAAATCCTCTTTCACCAAAAGGTGGATAACGATTTCATGCTAGAATAAAAACTGCATTATAGGGATACTATATTAAGCCAAATTATCTTGAAAAGAGGTGTTTAACTCCAGCATACTGAAACAGATTGATGGAGAGCAGTTTACCATTCACAGAAACACAATATGTTCAGGTATTGGTCAGAACCACATTCAGCTTTTCCCATTTCTGAACACTGCAGAAGAATAAAGGAATGACAAAACAAAAAAACTCCAGGTTTAAGATGATAGCCCCCAAAATTTCACAAGCTGAAATGTGAAATCATATGCAGAGATTACTTGTAATAGCAGGGAACTTGATTCAGCAGTCTTCCATATCCATTCTCTTATGCCTATACTTTTAAGAGTCACGTGAGCACAACAGGTATTTCTTGTCAAATAAAAGAACAATAACAGACTATGGAATTAATAACTGACAATTTAAAATAATAATGCAGATGTCTAATTTTGTAAGGTAATATTCAGATGTTGTATCCAAGCCACACACAACTCTACTCCTTATGACAAGTAATAGACATAGAATGAGCAATAAATGTCATTGACATTTCATACTGTAATTCTGGTAAAGAACAGAAAGAGATTGTTGCACAGGCTGGTAAATTTGAAAGATAATTTTGCTTTATCTACAAAATTCTGTCAACAGGGAATATGTTTATGATGATATTCGTTGTCAGAGAGCCAAAACAGAATAGATGTAGACTTACCTAACTCCTGGAAGCTTCAGATTACCACCTACATTCCAGCAGGTTTTTTTTTTATGGTTGCAAAAAACATTGCAAAATTCAAGACTGAAGCTAGCTTCTGCTCAAAGAAGGTTCAGTACCGGGGAAAAAAAGAGAGCTACAAGCTGACCTGAGACACCTTACATGTCAAAAATACTTTGCAGAATATGAATGAAATGACAACACACAAGAAACCAGGAAGTTGTTTAAAAAAACCCCAAAAAATCTTGTTTTCAAGATGTGAAAAAAAAACAAACACTTTTGTTGAGGATGTGTATATACCTTAATGTGATACTTTCAATAGCATTGACTACTACTAACTTTAAATCCTGTATTTCATAGAAATCTAGG